GTTTGTGCCAACTTAAATGCATGGTACCACATGTATTTTGTTTATGGCTCAATTTAAAAATCATGCCAGCACCTTTTATGCATGTGTCATGCGCATAGAGAAGCCTAATAAAAAAAAAATGCAATATGTGGGAACATGCAAAGTAACTTTTGTGCTCAGATGCACCTCCTTGTCTGAATGAGCCCTCAGACTAGTGTGCCCCTGATTGTGTGCAATTGTAAAGCGTGCGTGAAGAAAGGTCGAAAAACACTGATCTAGAAGGTAAATTTAGCCTAAAAAGTATATGTCCAGTCTAATAAATGTCTTTCCTAGTTTTGAAAGTGGAGAATGGTTGCGCCCCTTTTGGTTTGTACTTCTATCTAGCACTCCATTAGGGATATTTCTCCTCATTTTAGCTGAGAACGGTTTCACCGTACAGAGAAAAGGGCTCAATCACTAACAGCAACACAGATACACTTTTTTGATTTTGTAAAGTAGGAAACGACTAAACCAACGACAACTTTTAATTGCTGTCTGTATCCTTGTTGCAGATGTTCCCCTTATTTCATGTCTGGTGAAGCCATTGTTAGTGGAACAGGGAGAATCTCGCCAAAGGAGTTCCACAGCAAAAACCCAACAAAGGTTCTAAAATGTCTCCAATTTAATCTTCATAAGAATGTTTTGACTGGACACTAATTTTAAACCATTCCTGCCCAGCCAATAGCACAATGACAGCCGAGAGGGACTTTCAGCGATTCAGGTGAGCTTCATATGATGTCCTCATGGATCACCACCTTGCACGCACCCGCGGAGCCTCGCTGTGATGAGATCTGTCACCGTCTGTGTCCATAGGACACAGTCGATGACCAATCTGTTTACTGGCCCATTGCTGGTATCATGTGACCACTGTGACCAATCACAGCAGGTCACCTGACAATTGTAAACAATGAATGGCTTCCTTTCATGCCATCCATTGTATACAATTGTGTTGCTAGCTGTGATAAGATAGAAGTTGGCTCTATGAGATAGAATAAAGAAATTATACCTCAATGTCCCATTGACAACTATTTCAATAGACTGAAAGTGAGATACAACAAAGACAGAAAAACAACTTTTTTTTAGTAGAGTAGGAGAGAACTAGAGCCCTGGACAGCTTTTTATTGCAATCCATGTCCCTCTTTTAGATTATCGCTCACTTGAAACCCAAATGTGTTGAAACCCAACAGGGATTCCGATTTTTTTCCTATTATGTCCGAACTGTAAACAAAAAATTGATTGGGTATACTGTACATAGTAATATACTCCTTTCTTGTCAAACATTGTGAGCTCCTTGCATGCATTAAGTCATCTGCTTAATTAAACATTTTGCATAAAAAAAAATATTATCTTAGGCTTAGACAAATCTCCACCCTTGAGAATGCATTTTTATATGAGAAGGAGCTAGTGACATCATAGTCAAAATAACTCTTCCTCCCTAAAGCAATATCATGCTGCTTTCTGTAGAGTCAAATTAAAATGCATTGTTATCTACACAGCTGTTATCATTTGCTGTGCAAGATATGTTGTTACTATTGATGTCATGTGGACTATAGAGGTAAAGAACACATCTGAGGGTCTAGTAGTTTTTTTCCAGCCTGGGTTTTTATGAAATCATCTTTTATTGAATTTTTTAAACAAACTTTATTGTTCAAAAGTTTGCATACCTTTGGAAAATTGGTAATATACAGTATGTACCATTTTTAAAGAAAACATGAGTGAGCACACAAAACACATTTCTTTTATTTCAACAATTAAACAAATGAAATGACCCCTGTTCAAAAGTCTGCATACTCTTAGTTCTTAATACTGTGTATTGCCCCTTTTAGCATCAATGACAGCATGCAGCCTTTTGTAATAGTTGTCTATGAGGAGCTGAATTTTTTTGCAGGTGGTATAGCTGCACATTCATCTTGGCAAAATGACTTCAGGGCATGCAAAGTCTATTGTCATCTTGCATGAACCCCATGTTTGAGATCTCCCCAGAGTGGCTCAATGATATTAAGGTCAGGAGATTGTGATGGCCACTCCAGAACCTTCAACTTTTTCTGCTTTAACCACTGGAGGTTCAACTTGGCTGCATTCATCGTACAATCAATTTTTACAAGATTCTCCATGCCTTTTAGAAATCATACCAAAACATCAGTGAGCCACCTCCATACTTCACAGTGGTGATGGTATTCTCTAAACATAGTGCTTATGGTTGTGACTCCAGACTACAGTGTGCCAGAAGCTGTGAGGCATGTCAAGGTGTTGTTGGGCATATTGTAGCCGTTCTTTTTTTGTGGCATTGGTGCAGTAACAGCTTTTTTATGGCAACTCGACCATGCAGCTTTCCACTTCTTAATAAGTGATTGAACAGTACTGACTGGCATATTCAGGCTTTGGATATCTTTTTATAACTTTTTCCGTCTTTATAAAGTTCCAATACCTTATGTAGGTCTTTTGACAATTCTTTTCTGCTCCTCATGGCTCAGTATTTAGCCTGCTCAGTGCATCCACATGAGACCTAATAAACGCATTGACTTTCTACACACATACTCTAACTGAAATTTAAAAAGCCACAGATAAGGGAAATTAACCTTTATTTGACATTTTAACCTGTGTATGTGTGTGTCGCCTTATGTGTCTGTACCAAGGACAAACAAACCAGAGTATGTAAACTTCTGATCAGGGCCATTTGAATGGCTATTTTATCATTATGAATGAAAAAAGAGACAAACAACTACATTTGGTAAAAAAAAAAGGTTTCATACAGTCACTATCCTTAAATAAAAGTTTTTTGGCACAATCATATTTTCAATATCAATGCCAAAATGTCATGATTTCTGCCAGGGTATGCAAACGTTTTAGCACAACTGTATATGATATTGTCATTTTGTATGGAGAGTTGTTCACTCCTCTGTGTGCCTTGAAAGTCCCTTCCACACTTTATTCTTGGTATTCTTTATGTATAAATGGGATGGTGGCAAACTGCAGTAATGAATGATCCTTCAGTTCTGCTTTATGTAGGATCACATTGGCCTGCTATAACACATCTTCCACCAGAATGCTTAATTATCTAAGGGAAGGAGGAGGAAATTAAATCAGAGTTTCCTTCTTTCTCTATAACGTATTTAAAGAATGAGGATACAAAACTTAGGCCTGTCCGCTGTTAGTAGATCCCTCCTCTTGGCACAGTTCCAATACAGATTTGTTCTCATTTTCATCAAACAACCCATGAAAGGGGAATTGTGAACCCCCAAAATGCGTTTGATTTTTATCCTTACATTAGATTGAATAAAAGCCCAGAGACTGTAAAGTACATGATCTACCTGGCTCTGTAATTGAGTAGCTGGACAAGCATGGGTCTAGGTGGGACACCCTGTAGTAGGGTGCATGGCTGGGTCCTGTGAAGAAAGTGGTGTGAGTGCCTCCTTACTGAAAATTTCCAGGAGCCAGGTCTCCACAATATCCATGAGGTTCCTTTCCCTCCATCTGTTCTGGCAGCCCCACAATGCTAATGTTGTTATGTTGAAGTCTTTTCATGAGATCATCCACTCTATCCCAAACGAGTGATGTGTTAGAACAGGTAGGGGGGGTAGCTGGTCCTCTACTGTATGTCACTCTCAATGACTGGTTTATGTTCCCAGATCTTCTAAAGATCCTGTCGCAGAAAGGATTCCACTTCACATAACCCCACAAACTGTGCCTAAGAGTGTCTACAGGGACTGTATATTTCTGTGCCACATTCAGGATTTTTCACAGGGTGGGTTGTGCATCCCCCTTGGTGTTTGGATCAGGCTTTGAGCATGATTGTGGTTCAAGGTCTAAGATGGCGCATTCCCTGTGTGCAGTGTCACATTTAGTCTCTGGATCTTCTGCAGAAGCAGGGGTAGGAGGGCCCTGCAGCTTTTGAGTGCAATAGAGCATTTACAGAGCAGATTCTTTCCTGCAGGACGAGGGGTTTTCCCTCCCATCTTACTGGCTGCCTTCTTTGGGTTCTCTGTTATCCAGGTGGAAAGCTGTGGCAGTGAAGGCTGGGCGCCATTTTGGGAGTAATGGGCCTCAAGATCTTCTTTGCTCTTGCATGTCATCATGGGCACTGAGAGGCACAGAAAGTGGACTGGTGCTGAGGGTGTGTGGGAATTGGTAAGCCACTGAACCAGAGTGGTATACAGGCTGTGGGAAGAATTGTGTGCAGATCACCGGCCTCTGTGAGCTGCTTCCTCTCACATGCCACGTTCAGCCACACCCCCCATTTATATAGGTTTTGAAGGATAGAAGCTCCACACACTTTAATCATTCAAATCATTTGCTGGAAAAAAAACTCAAATGTTTTTCATTTTCATTTTACATGAGCGGGTATTGAAATCAGAAACAGAAATATATGTAATAAGCCTAGAGAATATGACTATATTTTTCATTCATTTTGCAAATTCTCTAGAACTTGAAAATGTTTAATTTTTTAAAAGCGTCCTTTTACTTCTTTATTTCTTAAAGTATAAATAAAAGGATTTAAAAAAAAGGAGTGACGATAGTGTACATAAGGGCAAGAAACTTGTCATAATGGCTACTCTTTGGCTTTATGTACACTATGATAACTGAAGTATAGAAGAGGCAGACAACAGTGAGATGGGAGGAACAAGTGGAGAATGCTTTGTATTTACCTTCTACGCTCTTAATTTTGGCTATGGTAATAATAATGTGTGTGTAGAAGCTTAAGATAAAAATGAAAGGAGTCAAACTGGCAAAAAACTGCAGAAATGTTTGTGGCTAAATTACTAAGCAGGGGATCAGAACAGGCTAAATTCTGCACTGAAGCCAAATCACATAAAAAATGGTTGATCTCATTGGGTCCACAGTATACCAAGTCAGCTGTGAAAATGGTGGAAAATAAAGCAATGATAAAACTTACTGTAAAAGGAAAAATTGTTAAGGCGGTGCAGACCATATTGTTTATAATTGTAGAATATCTTAGGGGATGGTTAATTGCTAAATCTCTATCAAACGCCATAACTGCAAGCATGTAGCACTCTGTTATACCAAGTGCACTGAAGACATAACTGTACAAAGCAATTTGTGAAAGATATTCTTCTATCTGCAGCAATCAAGTTGGTGAGGAGTTTGGGAATTGTAACAGACACAAAAGAGATTTCTAAAGCAGCAAAGGCACTGATGAAAAAATACATTGGACAATGGAGGGAAGTTCCAACCTTAACCAGAGTAATAACAGCCGAGTTTCCAGCAATGCTGATAATGTACATTTGGAGTATAATAATGAAAAGTAAGATCTGGTACTTTTGGAAATTGGAAAAAGCCAACAGAATAAATTCTTTCACTGTTGTTTTGTTCAATTGTTCCATTGTTCATAATGTTGATATCTAGGAAAGGTAATGATAAAGAAATAATTTACAAAGAATTAACAGTGCCATACTACACATTCTATGAAAATATTACATAGTAACATAGGTTATAAAAGACACTAGTACAACCAGTTCAACCAATAAAACAAACACAAAACCTTCATATACAAAATCCTATACCCACAGATGATCCAGAGGAAGGCAAAAAAATAATGATCCAATTTACCCCAATAGGGAAAAAAAGATCCTTCCTGATCCCCCAGCAGGCAAATGGATATTCGCTGGATCCCCTAGTCTATTGTTATCTCTAAATACTAATTTCCCATTATAATTTGTGCATTTAGGAATGCATTCAGCTATTTTTTTTTAAAACACTCTACTGAGGGAGTCTTCCACATTTTCACAAAGAGTGCCCCCTTGTCTTCTGATGGCCTTAAAGTGAATAATTCTATACTAAGTTCACTGTATGAACCACATATTTATTCATGTTGATCATATCCTCTTATCTTCTCTTCTTAAGAGAGAATCAATTCCTCTAATCTTTCCTCTTAGCGGAGCTCCTCCATGCCTCTTAACAGTTAGGTTGCCCTTATCTGCACTTTCTCCAGTTCTCCGATATCCTTTTTGTGAAATGTTGCCTAAAACTGAACTGATTTCCAGGTGAGGTCTTATTAACACTTTGTACAGAGGCAAAATTGTGTTTCTTTCCATGGAGTCTATACATTTTTTATTCAAGAGAGGATTTTGCTAGCTTTAGAAACTGCAGCTTGGCATTTCATGCTATTAGTCTATGATCGATCACAACATCCATATCCTTCTCCACTGTTGACTCCCCTTGCTGTACCAATCCTAGAATGTAAGACGCATGTATTTTTTTCCCCCGCTAGTGCACAACTTTACATTCATCAACTCACGACCACATCTGCCACATAAATTATTATATCAGCAACATTCTCCAGGTATTCAGGTGGGCATACATGCATATTTTTTCTCATTCAGCCAGGAGGCTGAAAACAAAAAGGTGATGGATTCCCCCATCCACACAAGCAAGATGGATGGAGTAATGCTCCCCTTTGTGCTACTGTATTCTGACAGAATATAATGATCAGCGCTGCAGCCAATAGGCTTCAGCAGCTGACTGAAAGATGGTTTCCAGCAATCCTGTTAGATAGAAGTCAATTGGTGATCAACTTCTATCAAACAGGGAGGATCACACACAGATGAAAAGTCATCAGTCGCTGCTGAACTGGCCAAATTTTCGATCCATGTGTACTCAGCTTAAAGTCTTATAGTATGTTGGTGTATATACAAAAAATGTACGGTAACAAGAAGCCTTGTAAGTCCCTGTTAGAATACTAAGTTCTTCTATACATACATATTTTATCAAGGACATAGACTCAGCACATCCAGAATACAGTATACTGTAGGCCCAGCCTATATATGCACCTATCTTTCCTTCATGTATGCAGTCATATACCCCATACCCTAGGTCATTCCTTCTATCATCCTCTCTCTAGCAGGTAAACCTTCCCTTGATGTGTGTGTGTTTTTTTTTTTCTTATTTACTAAGATATAGAGAAAGTTGATTGGCTGATTAAACACTTTTGATCTTGCTATTAAACAATATTCACATTTTCCTTTAAAAAAAAAATCTTAACTTTACACTCATTTATTGATTATAACAAATAATGCCAGCCAGCTATGTGTTCACAACCCTTGTTTCTTCAAACAGCTAACAATTATCATTTGACCAAATAACATAAGACCTTGAGTGTTCTGACATTACAGTGTGTATTGACCTTCTGAATAGAATTTGCAGAGGAAGAGTCTGACAATTCAATTCTATCAGTCCTGAGGATTTCCTTTTTAATGTGTAAATGCAGTTACAGCTGCTAATAACGTGCTATCTGACTGCACATAAAATACATATATATATAAAAATTTTCTTCAAACACAGAAGCCCACATGTAGATATATAAACTTGCTTTCCAAACCTATTTATAACCGTAGTGCATTTTTACTTTTGATGACACAGGATTCATTTAAGGCTTTTAATGATAACTCTGGGATTGTGAAAAATGTCCAAAATATGCAAAAATGCTTAAAAATTAATAAAACTAAACACTTTTGCTAAGTATGTATCATTGACTGTTATACTTAAAAAACCACACACACGCACACGCACAGAAAACTCAGTAATAACTCTACAGTATTGAGTTATTTATTTTGGGTCTGCAGTTGGCCTATATCAATAAATTATACCTTTAGTTCCTGGATATAAACAATTCATTACACACAATTTTGTTCACATGATCTGATGTTACGTACATTTACTCAAAATGTATTAGTATGGCTATGATTGTATAGTGATTTAATGGTTATGCATGTTAATATAATCTGCAGCTCAAACTGTTGTGACTGTGCATCTTCAAATAGGATCTGTGTTTAGGTGACAACTGTAGTTTCAAGTATATACAGTATGTATATTTATCTGTATGTAAATATGTAAATAAGAACTGCTCATTGAATCCCTTACCAAAAATGCCTTTCTGTTTTTACCCTGAACAGGGAACACAAGGCTTGGTATTTATATTTTAGGCAAGTCAGTTGGACCTTTCCAATTAGCATACTCAGGATGAAGGAACAATAATCTTGTGGTGACTAATAACTAGTAATTGTTACGAGGTTTACTGTGGGACTTTCAGCTGCCTAACTGATAATTAACAAGATCCTTCGAGGATATTCATTAACCCTGTCTATTGTTTAAAGACATACCATGTAAGGGTTTAGAATAAATAAAATATTAAACATGGTGGGAAAAAGGATAATAATAATATCACCATCATCAATCAGTATTTATTATCAATCATCATCTCTTAGTTAAAATATTCAAAATGGTCAAAAAAAGGGATGCTTAAAATAATAATAAAAAAAAATCACTTGGTATTTATCATCAATCATCATCTTTGTTACTTTGGGAAACTTTTTTACTTTTGCTCTTTTTTTCATAAATTATAATGGAGGGAAGGAACAGAGGGAGGGTGGTGGGTTATCATAGAAAAAGAGAGAGGTTAGGGAAAGAGAGAGGGCTACTGATGGAGAAATAAAGGTGGAGGGGCTTGAGAGTGAAATCAGGAGAAGAGGAAAAAGGGAGTGTGAGAAGGGTGGTGAGAGAGGGGAAGAAAGCAGAAGGTTGTTCTGCTCCCCCTCCCTGTATACGAGCCTGAATGTTTCTCAATGTCTGAAAGTGAGCCTTAAGTTGGCCATATACTGATCAAAATTTGAGTGGTTCATCAGCAGCCGGCCGAATTTCGATCAGTGTGTGGCTGTCCCTGCTCGACAGAAATTAATTGTTTGATTGACTTCTGTTTAAGGGCATGCTGGAAAACTTTTGTCAATCACTTCTCCCATGAGCTCCCAAGCCAAAATCCTCAGTGAACCCCCCTTTGAATTGACTCTAGATATTCTGAGAAAGTAGCCCCCCCAGCTTCCACTGAGTTGGGACCTGAATTAACTCCTGCAGACTTCAGGTACTCTACCTAGAAGGATTGGATAAGACCACATGAATATTCAGGCCTAGGGTCTGCCTCTTTCAACCCACTACATTCTGCAATCCACCAGAAGGCAGGTGGAAGCAGTTGAACCAACAGCCAGTGAGACCCAGAAGGCAAAAATAAACAGACACTACTCCAAGATTACATAGAAGTTACAGAATTAAACTTACCTCTCTAGAAACATGTTCTAGGATAGTACTACTTGTGGATAAAGGAATCTTTTTTTTTTTGTTCAGCCCACTGGTTTAAAAAAAAAAAAAATTGTCTATAGCCAGCTTAATTAAAAGTAACGTAGAAAAAAATACTTTTGTAAAGGCTGCCAGTAGAAAGCAGTAAAGAGCAATCTCAGAGACACAGGAACCTGATGTGTAGAGGTCCTGCATGGCAGAATCCCAGAATTCTGGAATTGCTTTTTTTCTGCTTGTCATGCTTGGCCACCTCTAGAAAGTGTCTACCATTCCACTTTATTATAGTTAGAACAGGGCTGCTGGGATACTATGACTGTGCAATAGTAGATCTTTCAGCAGCATGCTGGCTTCTGCAGCTGCAGGGAACCAACATTCTGCCCCCCACACACACTCGCTGGCACTCTCAGTGCCTACCTTCTTCTGTGGTTGTTCTGATGAGTCGTCCTCAGTCTTTGCTGGTGTCTTCTGAATCTTGGGCAGCTGGGTCAATTCAGCAAGCCTACAATAAAGACAAAAAATGGTCGGGACTTCAGAAATAACAGTCAACATCTGCTTCTTAATTAAATGGACATGTACATGGATAAAATATCCAAATTGTTTTGGACAACTAATCCTTCGTTATGGCTGATACAATGAGACCAAACATGACTGGGTGCCAAAATAGACCGCCAAGTACCCTGTGGTTACTAAAATTTACACCTTTAGACAAGATGTTATACAAAACTTTCTCTTTATAAAGGATAGGTACATTTTTCTTTATTAGCCTCACTATCCTATTACATTCAACAGAAAAGGCGATAACAAAATGTATTTCTCTGCTCATTCTAATTCTTTTATATTTAATTTTACAACGAAGTGTCAGCAAATTGGTGCTAGAGAGCAGATCAGCACTTGATCTATGAAGCTATATTAAATGCCCTATTCAAATACCACTGAGGATAGCCTCTATCGAGAGTCTGTGCCTGACAATGCTACATTCTGTAAAGAATAGAGAATCAGTGGAACAATTTCTCCTTGATCGAGTAAACTCCCCCACTGGAATGGAATTTATCAACTTATAGCAAGGAGTGTAGCATTGCCCTCACAAGGCTTTCTAAAAGTGGTGGTTAAAACTTTAGAGGTTCGCTGATCACCCATTAATGTGATATCCAAATAGTTA